GTTTTGTAAATATTTTCTCCAGCCTATGACTTGTCTTTTCCTTTTCTTAATGGTATCTTAGGAATTTTGATAATTACCGACTTTTTTTTTCCCTTATGGACCATGCTTTTGGTGTGGCATCTGGGAAATCTTTGCCCAGCCCAAAGTGTCAAACACTCTGCCCTGGGTTTTCTTCTAAAATGTATATTCGGGGCTCTTACACCTAAGCGTGATCCACGTTGAGGCAATTTGTGTGTCTGGTGTAAGGGTTTACTTCTCCTTTTTGCAAGCGGCTATCCGAAATGTCCCAACACCGTTTGTTGAGGATGATGGATTCCACCATTGACCGGACTTTGCCTTTCGCCCGCAGATCTGCAAGACCCCTGAGCCCAAAGCAGCCCCTTACTGCAGCCCTTCTGTGCCCGTGCACTTCAACATCCAGCAGGACTGCGGCCACTTTGTTGCCTCGGTGCCCTCCAGCATGCTCACCTCTCCTGACGCACCCAAGGACCCTCAGCCTGCACCCCCATCACACCCGCCTGCCCAGGAGCAGGACTGCGTGGTGGTCATCACCCCCGAGGTGCCCCACCAGACGGCTTCTGACTTTGTGCGGGACTCCGCCTCCAGCCATCAGTCCGAGCCTGAGGTTTACGAGCGGCGCGTGTGCTTCCTGCTCCTGCAGCTTTGCAACGGGCTGGAGCATCTGAAGGAGCACGGGATCATCCACCGGGACCTGTGCCTGGAGAACCTGCTGCTGGTGCACTGCTCCCCCCAGGCCTCCCCCGGCGCCTCCCCCGCCGCCCCATCCCCTTCCCCGGCTGGGGCTCCCGCAGCGTGCCCCTCTGCCTCTCTCGCGGCTGCCACCCCCGTCCCCGCCCCCGCCCCCGCCTGCCAGGGGGTGCCCAGTGAGAAGTACCTGCCGCGGCTCATCATCAGCAACTTCCTGAAGGCCAAGCAGAAGCCAGGCGGCACCACCAACCTGCAACAGAAGAAGAGCCAGGCCCGGCTGGCCCCCGAGATCGTGTCTGCCTCGCAGTACCGCAAGTTCGATGAGTTCCAGACGGGCATCCTCATTTATGAGCTGCTCCACCAGCCCAACCCGTTCGAGGTGCGGGCGCGGCTGCGGGAACAGGACTACCGGCAGGAGGACCTGCCCCCGCTGCCCGCGCTGTCCCTCTACTCGCCCGGCCTGCAGCAGCTCGCGCACCTGCTGCTGGAGGCCGACCCCATCAAGCGCATCCGCATCGGCGAGGCCAAGCGGGTGCTGCAGTGCCTGCTGTGGGGGCCGCGGCGGGAGCTGGTGGAGCAGCCGGGCACGTCGGAGGAGGTGCTGTGCGGCACGCTGCACAACTGGATCGACATGAAGCGCGCCCTGATGATGATGAAGTTTGCCGAGCGGGCGGCGGACCGCAGGCGCGGGGTAGAGCTGGAGGACTGGCTGTGCTGCCAGTATCTGGCGGCGGCCGAGCCGGGGGCGCTCCTCCAGTCCCTGAAGCTCCTGCAGCTTCTGTGAGCGCGGCCCCCCAGCCCCGCCCTTCAGCCGCCCGCTCCCCTGCCCGCGCCTCCTCCTCCCCCCCCCCCCCCCTTGCACCCTGCCTGGCCTTGGGAACATCTGTCTCCCCTGGGAAATGGTACACGACTGTCATACTTGGATGTAATATATATATAAAATATCTAAATAAGAAAGACTGCGGCTGTCATTGCCCACGCCGTCCCCCCGCCCCCCGTCCTTCTCAAGTCCTCCAGGTTTCTTCCTGTAGTCAGTACATTCCTGGCCCCGCGCCCCGGCCTGGGGACAGTTCTGCGGATGCAGTGAAGTCTGGACTCCGACTTCACTACGTCACCATGGGATCACTTTACCCCTTTGTCAAATGGCTGTTAAAAAAAAAAAATCCAGCAGACCTTCACTCAATATTTTTTGCTTTTAAAGTTTATTTTGAAAGAGAGAGCATGAGCGGGGGAGGGGCAGAGAGGGAGAGAGAGAGAGGGGGGAGAGAGAGAGAGAGAGAGAGAGAGAGAGAGAGAGAGAGAATCTCAAGCAGGCTCCACTCTGAACACAGAGCAGATGTGGGGCTTGAACTCAGGAACTGTAAGACCATGACCTGAGGGGAAACCAAGAGTCGAGGCTTTGCCGACCTAGCCACCCAGGTGCCCCAACAGACCTTCATTAAAAAAAAAATGGGGTTGAGCTCTTTTATCCCCAAGTGTTCACATGTGTTAATATGTTTGGTGGTTAAATTGAATATAAGCCTCTGAGCAGTAGCTCCAAGACCACTTGAGGTGTCCTTGACCTCACACTGCTGGTGAGCTAGAGGAGCGGGCCACTAGGCCCCGGGGCCTGTGGGCATCACTTAACCTCCCCTCACAGCAGTGTCTTAGAATCCAGACTCAACTCCGAGGCCAGCAGAGGTTCAGAATTCAACCCCACTGCTCCAAATCCATTTCCAGGTGGCTAAAGCTGGCTGCCATTTGTATCCGTCAGAGGCCTGGCTGAAATGGAATCCACCCCAGATGGTTCAGACGAAGAAACTGTAAGGGTCCCACTTAGGGGTGGAAAGGGTCAAGAGAAAACAGGAGGGACGATGAGGCAAAAGCAGGAGCTGAGGTGCGCGAACTAACCATCCACCTTCCATTTCCCACCTGCCATCCCCAGGCCGAGCCCACGGCGGGGGGGGGGGGGGGGGGGGGGGGGGTGATGCAGTTAACGGGTTCAGCCTCCTGGGGCAGGGAATGGGGAAGGGTGGAGGTGGCAGCCGGTGGCCTGCTGTCACCTGCCTCCACTGTGCTAGGGATCGGCAGCGGCAGGAGGAAACGGGAGTTCCTGCTCCCAGACCGGCAATCTCCCTGCCGTCCTAAGCTCCTTCCAGTTTCTGTTTGTAAAACTCATTCATTTAACATGTTTGCTGTCACCTGGTACCCACTGCAGTCGATATTTGTCACCATACCTTTCAAGTGCAAAGAATTAGGTAGCACCAGACCTTTCCTCCTCAAACTAGACACACCAAATGTTACTAATTACTCATGTGAAAGGAGACAGCCCCCAAGACCCTTGTATTTCTACCTAAAGCGTGATCTCCCAACTTGTGACCTAACTTCTATAACCTTGTTAATAGTTCTGGACAGTCATAAAACAAATGCAGAGATCTTCATGGATGTTCTAGAAATCTGGGAATGTGCTTCGTGACCAGGACGGGGAAATCTCTCAGGTCCCCTTCTGCATATTAATTTCACTGCTTTTGGACTACAGGTGAACACATCCCCGTCTCCATGCGTCGGCTGTGAAGACAGTGCCTGAGCAGTGCATTTGTCGTGTTAACTGTGACTTGAGAACCGAGGAAGGGACAGAATAAACCAGCTTCCAACTTTGTGCAAGAAAAAGAGTCTTCGAACATGGAAATCATTGTCTTCCCCAGGACCTATCTGTTTTGGGGGTGACAGCTTGTCAGTTGTTTATTCCTGGGAATTTTCCAGGCACACCCTCCGCCCTCCATTTGCTGTCTTTTGCTTTCTTTCTCACTTAAGTAAATAAGCAATGGGGAGGGAGGAAGCAGACATTCTGCCAAGGGAATGCAGTGCCACTTGGAAACACGTCTCTGGAGGCACATTTTAAATCTTTGTATTAGTGACACCTTTTGTATGTGCCACCCACTTTCAGGAAAAAAAAAATTGAGATTGTAGAAAAGGTTTTAAAACCAAAATGAACCCCAAAGTAAAGGTGAGAAGAAATTACAGCAGTAAATTCCAATGGAGAGGAATGATAAACATGAAACTTCCTTCTCAGTGGTCCAGCAACCTAGAAAAAGTAGAAAACAGTGGGTTGCAGAATTCTTTGTGTGTAATCTTAGGGGATGGCTCAGTTCATCATGAGGAACAAGCCTTTTCCCAGTGCATGGTTCTGAAGGGAATTTGTCAAGGATTTCCTTGTTTTAAAATATTGGATAATGGCCCCAATAGTGGTGTTATTGGTTTTGGGGTTTTTTTAAGACATTTTCCTAGACAGGGCAGTTTCTTACATTCACCATGGGTGAAATCCAATTGGTAACATTCAAGCCTATTTTCATCAGGGTGGTTTTACAGGGTATTTGCTACCCATTCATCTCGATGGGTTGTTGGCCTTTTCCGTCAATGGTAAGTGACTACATACCATTCCGTAAATGCCCATGACTACATATAGTAGGTTGGGCAAACAGCTTTAGCCTCTCTAAATTCAAGCGCTCAATATAACTAGTTGTTTGTTTGTTTGTTGCCTCAAAATACACCTGCAATGCACAGCTTTATCTCACAGAAAGCTCAAGCACTAAAAAAATGAAGTCCAGAAACTATAGTTTGGACTGAGGTTCAGAAACAAACCGGGGCTTTTGTAAGATGCCAGGCTCCTAACATTTGTTTATTCAATACTCCTGGCTCCTGGCATCCGTGGATTCATCTTTTTGCTTGGCTTTAGACCCAATTACTGGTATTTACATCTCCAGATCTTTTTTCTCTCCAGCTCTGAGTCAGGTCGCCCCCGTATACTTTTTGCATTGGTAATCTTGGTTATTAATGGGAACTTTCCCTTTCTCATCCCAAGACGTGGAAGCTTTTCTTCTCCTAAACTCTTTCCTGTAGGCATTATGGAGCCGTACATCTAAATTGTCATATCCTTGCCAGAAGCAAGATAACATACTTCAGGGGATTATTTATTTATCATAACACATGGCTCAGATCTCAAAAGACGGGGCCCTGGGGAGCTGTGGTTACCACTCTGTGTAACACTTCCTGGTTTCCAAGAGCTTGGGGCTGGAGAAAGCTCTTTTGTGATGTGCACATGCACACAAACAATTATAAAGATTCTGAAGAGGGAAGACACATGTCACTTTAATGACTTCTCTGAAATCCGTTCTTTAAATATATACAGCCAATAAATGAGGCAGGCCTTTCCCACTTTGCTGAATAGCTATAAATCTTTGAAGATCTAAGGATAAGCTTATTAATCTCATTAAAAGTAGGAGATTTGTAACATAAAATCTGCTTGGCATTTAATAGAGGGTGGTGTGAATGGAATGATTCATTAGAAACCAAAATGTAGCCCAACTGATGTCATTGCTAAAAATAGAAGACAAGTATAAAATGTCTGGGGCAAATTCCATGGGGTGAATATCTTAACAAAATACGCTTCTCTTTGCCGATGCTAATTAATGCAGAGTTAAGGGACAGCCAAGGAGACCTCCAGACTTAAAGATGTCCTGGGAGGACTTATGCCCTGGGAGGTTAGTTAGAAGGTAGCCAGAGGGGTTGTAGGGCTCCAAGAAAGGAGTCTAAATTAGCCCAGGGATGGTATCATTTATTTGGAAAGAACTGGGGCTGAACCAGAATTTCCATGATGAATTATAACCTTACTGAGCCCTGGATACTCAGTCTTCTCCGATCCACATCTTTCCTCCTAGGGCTTGACTACATCCATTCCTGGAATGGGGGAAGCAAAGTCAAGTTTACTTAGGAGTCTTCTGCATGCCAACAAGCTAGCTTAGTGTTGAACTCTACCAGTGAGAATTCGAACATACACTTTTATCCTATGTTATAAATGCTGGGTTCGAATCTTTATAGATCTTTTACCAGAAGTGAGTACAGCTATTTCAAAAACAAACAAACAACGACAGAAACAATAAAAACCACGGTCCTGAACACTGGATGTGCTGAGACCATGAAAAGTTTGTGTTCTGTATTAGGACTTCCTAAAGGTTATTCTTCAGACTTCTGACTTACTGCCTCATCGGAGATAATCGGGCATGGAGATAGATTGAGAGAACCAAGCATGGAGATCTAAGGAGGGCAGAGAAGAGAGGAAATGAGAAAGCAAGATTCAGAGACAAATCACCTGCTTTACTACCTGCCTGGAACCAGCCCCAATAACTTCCCACAACCCTAGAAGGGCATTCATGAATCTTAGTCTGCTCAGGCTGCTACAAAAAAAATGGCATAGACTGGGTGGCTTGTAAATCATGGAAATTTATTTCTCGTGGTTCTGGAAGCTAGGAAGAACGAGATCAAGGTGCCAATGGATTTGATTCTGATGAGGATCCACTTCCTAGTCATAGATGGCCATGTTCTTGTGTCCTCACATGGTGGAAAGGGCAAAGGAGCTTCTTGGGATCCCTTTATGAAGGGCACTAGTCCAACTGTGTGAGGCTTCCACACTAATGACCTAAGCACCTCCCAAAGACCCCACCACCTAATCCATCACCTTGAGAATTAGACATCAATGTATGAATTTGGGGGGAACAAACATTCAGTCTATGGTATCCCTCTTCCCAGCCCTTTCCTGGAATCATACAGACATTTATATGTCTATTCTATTCTTAAAGATCTCCAGGGATGTGGAACTTTTATAGAATTCTAGGTGGTATAGAGTTCAAGTTCAGAGTTTGTAACAGATTCCTTAACAAGTCAGAAAGACTTTAATAATTGTGCCTTTTATATATGCCCTTTCTTTACTGACCATTCCCATAACCATGATAATGGAGACAATTTTCCATTTTCCTAAGGGAGTAACCGATTCCCTCTCCCCTACCCCTCAATCTTACCGGCTTTATTTATTTTGAGTATGCAAAACTTGACATGGCACTGAAAGCTAAAACTATTCGACAAGATCTGTTCAGAGAAGTGTCCCTCCCCCAACCCTGTCCCCGTCTTTCCACTCTCTCCACCAATCTACCGTAGTAACCAAGCTCACTAATTTCTTATCTTCTTTGTGGGTTTTTTGCCCAAATGAGCCGATATAAGACTCTTCTCTTTTACACGCGTGTTAGTATATCAGAACTGCCAGAGCACTTTGCTTTCCTCTCTTAGCAGTGTGTCAGCAAAAACTTTTCTTTTTTTTTTTTTTTTAATTTTTTTTTTCAACGTTTATTTTATTTTTGGGACAGAGAGAGACAGAGCATGAACGGGGGAGGGGCAGAGAGAGAGGGAGACACAGAATCGGAAACAGGCTCCAGGCTCTGAGCCATCAGCCCAGAGCCCGACACGGGGCTCGAACTCACGGACCGCGAGATCGTGACCTGGCTGAAGTCGGACGCTTAACCGACTGCGCCACCCAGGCGCCCCAGCAAAAACTTTTCTAAAGCAAGGAGGTGACTGGACCTCTCCCTTGATCCAGAGAATTAACCCAGTCCATCATCTTCCACCGAGGTGGTGAAAGAGTCATTTGCACTGCTTGGGGAGCAGTAATTCACCAAACTTTGAATGATCCCTCTCTGGTATTGCCCCTTGGTTCTTAGGACAACCCATATTATTTTCTCTGGGGACTATGGACTGCTTTTCCTCCTACACAGAAACCGTGAGACTCACCCCCAACCGCAGTCAGCATCGACAGCAGATGCCCGAGTTAAATGGTGAGATTTGTTCTCAGGTGCTTCCTCCTCTCTGGAGTGACTCTGTTCGTCCTTGCCCTTGGAACCTAACACTTCTTTGATAAACTTCTCATTGATCCCTTGCAGCAAACCCCACCTGAAGACTATGACCAGGTCTTCGAGGAAAATCCTTCCCAGAAAGAGTGTCTAGGGAAGAAAGAGATTGTGCGACTCTCTGTGGCTCAGCTTTTCTGTGGCTCCAGTGTGGTGCTCACCTCTTTCCCTGAGTCCTGAGCGCTGCAATGGAATCAACGAGGTTCCGCTCATTGAAGTCCTTTGTGGAACTGAGACTTAACTCTTACACAGAAGAGGCCTGATGATGTTGGTCTTAGCAGAGCCCAACATGAGTCATGCGCTGTTTCAAGTACCTGATTAACGATGGATAGAATGAAGGAACTTGCTGGGCATTTTGTCCCATGGACCGGTTTCTTGGGAAGGCAGGGTGGGGGAGGGGCGTTGAGGGGTGCTGGGTAGGAGCTGTGCTCCTGGCGCAGAAGGCACCCAGGGGCGCAGGGCAGGGAGCACCTTCTTGGCCAGTGCTCGCTGTACCCCTGCTGCTGGACTTGGCAGCTTCCTCCGGCTATGAGTCACACATTTGATAGCTGCCCTCCTCCTGCAGACAGCCCTGGCCTGTGTCAGCTGCCTGGCCCTGGCTCATCGCTGGACAGCCCCCTTCATTTCAACTCTGAAAGGCAACGGCCCACTGGAGAAAGCACCGGAACGAAGAAAACCAAGGGCATTGGGGATTGCCGTTCTGGTAGGATAACCATTTCTTTTTTTTTTTTGGGACAGAGAGAGACAGAGCATGAACGGGGGAGGGGCAGAGAGAGAGGGAGACACAGAATCGGAAACAGGCTCCAGGCTCTGAGCCATCAGCCCAGAGCCTGACGCGGGGCTCGAACCCACGGACCGCGAGATCGTGACCTGGCTGAAGTCGGACGCTTAACCGACTGCGCCACCCAGGCGCCCCTAGGATAACCATTTCTAAGCAGCGCCTAGCCCCACGAAGGCTCCTGAAAAGGATTTTCACGAGGGTGCACGCGGGTGTCTGGGAGCTGCTCTCCTGGAGCAGTCAGTTTGCCAGAGGGCTGGGATTATCACCTTCCAGGGGGCAGGCCCTGTAAAAAAGTCTGGAGTTTCTCCTTTGTGGCACCTCTAAAGTTACCTTGAAAGGAAAGAAAGGAGGTAGGAGAGAGACACTTAATATTCCTGGGGTGATGTTATTAAGAGCACACCACAGGCCCCGAGAATGACCACAGCTTGGCTTTGCTGTGTGTCTGTAAATGGACACCACGATGTTTAGCGGACAGAAACTGGCCATGTGATCCACGTCCTTTGTCTAGTTGGACTCCCATACCCCTGAGCTCTGAGCACCAAGAAAGGAATGCCTTAATGGGAAACTCTCTTTCTTTCTTTTTTTTTTTTTTTTTTTACTTTTAGGAGTAGAATTTAGTGATTCATCACTTACCTACGACACCCGGGGCTCATCACAGCAAGTTCCCTCCTTGATGTCCATCAGCCATCTAGCCCATCCCCCTGCCTACCTCCCTTCTGGTAACCCTCAGTTTGTTCTCTATAGGTAAGAGTCTGTTTTCTGGCTTGCCTCTTTTTTCCCTGTGTTCACCTGTTTTGTTTCTTAAATTCTACGTATGAGTGAAATCAAATGGTATTTGTCTTTCTCTGACTGACTGATTTCGCTTAGCATAATACTGTGTAGCTCCATCCACGTCATTGCAAATGGCAAGATTTCATTCTTTTTTATGGCTGAGTAACAGTCCAATATATAAATATATAAACCACATCTTTGCTATCCATTCATCAGTTGATGGACACTTGGGCTCTTTCCATAATTTGCCTCTTGTTGATAAAGCTGCTATAAACATCGGGGTGCGTGTGCCCCTTTAAATCAGCACTCCTGTATCCTTTGGGTAAATACCTAGTAGTGCATTTGCTGGATCATAGGGTTGTTCTATTTTCAGGTTTTTGAGGAATGTCCATACCGTTTTCCAGAGTGGCTGCACTGGTTTGTGTTCCCACTAGCATCGCAAAAGAAATCCTATTTATCTGCATCATTGCCAACATCTGTTGTTGCCTGAGTTGTTCATGTGAGCCGTTCGGACAGGTGTGAGGTGGTATCTCATTCTGGTTTTGATTTGTATTTCCCTGATGATGAGTGATGTTGAGCATCTTTTCGTGTATCTGTTAGGCATCTGGATGTTTTCTTTGGAAAAATGTCTATTCATGTCTTCCGCCCATTTCTTCACTGGGTTATTTGTTTTTTGGGTGTTGAGTTTGATAAGTTCTTTATAGATTTTGGATACTAACCCTTTATCAGATGCGTCATTTGCAAATATCTTCTCCCAGTCTGTAGGTAGCCTTTTAATTTTGTTGATTGTTTCCTTTGCCGTGCAGAAGCTTTTTATCTTAATGAAATCCCAGTAGTTCATTTTTGCTTTTGTTTCCCTTGCCTTGGGAGACATACCTAGAAAGAAGTTGCTATGGCTGATGTCAGAGGTTAGCGCCTGTGTTCTCCTCTAAGATTTTGATGGTTTCCTTTCTCACACTTAGGTCTTTTGGTCCAGTTTCATTCTTTTGCAAGTAGTTGTCCAATGTTTCCAACACCATTTGTTGAAAAGACTTTTTTTTTTTTTCCCATTGGAAATATATTCTTTCCTTCTTTGTTGAAGATTCGTTGACCATATAGTTCTGGATTCATTTCTGGATTTTCTATTCTGTTCCATTGATCAGGAAATTGACACATAGGTGTCTGTTTTTCTGCCAGTACCATACTGTCTGGATCACTACAGCTTTGTAATATAACTTGAAGTCCAGAATTGTGATGCCTCCAGCTTTGCTTCCCACCCCTGCCCCCAGATTGCTTTGGCTATTTGGAGCCCTTTGTGGTTCCATACAAATTTTAGGATTGTTTATTCTAGTTCTGTGAAAAATACTGGTGGTATTTTGATAGGGATTGCATTAAATGTGTAGATTGCTTTGGGTAGTATCGACATTCTAACCATATTTGTTCTTCCAATCCATGGACATGGAATGTTTTTCCATTTCTTTGTGTCATCTTTGATTTCTTTCATTAATGTTTTATAGTTTTCAGCATACAACTCTTTTACCTCTTTGGTTTATTCCTAGCTATCTTATAGTTTTTGGTGCAGTTGTAAATAGGATCAATTCCTTGGTTTCTCTTTCTGCTGCTTCGTTCTTGATTTATAGAAATGCAACAGATTTCTGTGTATTGGTTTTGTATCCTGTGACTTTATTCGGTGTATCAGTTCTAGCAATTTTTTGGTGGAGTCTTTTGGGTTTTCTATATAGACTATCATGTCATCTGCAAATAGTGAAAGTTTGCCTTTTTTTCTTGCTGATTTGGATTCCATTGTTTCTTCTTATTGTCTGATTGCTGAGGCTAGGACTTCCTGTGGTGAGAGTGGACATCCCTGTCTTGTTCCTGACCACAGAGGAAAAGCTCTCAGTATTTCCCTGTTGAAGATTATATTAGCTGTTGGTCTTTTGTATATGGCCTTTACGATGTTGAGGTATGTTCTCTCTGTCCCTACTTTGTTGAGGGTTTTTGTCATGAATGAATATTGTACTTTGTTGAATGATTTTTATGCATCTAGAAGATGCATAAAAGAAGATCATATGGTTATTATCCTTTCTCTTATTAATGTAGTGTATCATGCTGATATATTTGTGAATATTGAACCACCCTTGCAGCCCAGGAATAATCCCACTTGATCATGATGAATGATTATTTTAATGTGCTGTTAGATTCAGTTTGCTAGTACTTTGTTGAGGATTCTTGCATCTGGGTTCATCAGGGATATTGGTCTGTAGTTCTTTTTTTTAGTGGAGTCTTTATCTGGTTTTGGAATCAGGGTAATGCTGGCCTCATAGAATGAGTTTGGAAGTTTTCCTTCCATTTTTATTTTTTGAAATAGTTTGAGAAGAATTCATATTAACATTTCTTTAAATGTTTGGTAGAATACCCCTGGGAAGCCATCTGGTTTTTGTTTGTTGGAGATTTTTGATTACTGATTCAATTTCTTTGCTGGTTATCAGTCTGTTCAAGTTTTCTGTTTCTTCCTGTTTTAGTTTTGGTAGCTTATATGTTTCTAGGAAGAAATTTATCCATTTCTTCCAGAATGTCAGATTTGTTGGCATATAATTTTTCATAATATTCTAATTGTTTGTATTTCTGTGGTGTTCACTATTATTTCTCCTCTCTCATTTGTGATTTTATTTATTTGGATCCTTCCTCTTTTCTTTTTGATAAGTCTGGTAAAAGGTTTATCAATGTCATTAATTTTTTCAAAGAACCAGCTCCTGGTTACATTGATCTGTTCTACTGTTTTGTTTTTGTTTTTTTTAGTTTCTATATCATTTACTTGTGCTCTAATCTTTAATATTTCCCTTCTTCTGCTGCCTTTAGGCTTCATGTGTTCTTTTTCTAGCTCCTTTAGGTGTAAGGTTAGGTGGCTTATTTGAGATTTTTCTGGCTTCATGAGGTAGACCTGTGTTGCTATAAACTTCCCTCTTAGGACTGCTTTTGCTGCATCCCAAAGGTTTTAGATCGCCGTATTTTAGTTTTCATTTGTTTCCATGTGTTTTTTTAAATTTCTTCTTTAATTTCCCGGTTGACTCATTCATTCTTTAGTATCATGCATGTTCTCTAGCCACCATTTATTTGTGGTCTTTCCAAATTTTTTCTTGTGGTTGACTTCAAGTTTTATAGCATGTGGTCAGAAAAGATGCATGGTATGATCTCAGTCTTTTTGTACTTGTTGAGGCCTGGTTTGTGACCTAGTGTGTGATCTTATGTGCACTTGAAAAAAAATGTGTACTCTGCTGCTTTAGGAAGGAATGTTTCAAATATATCAGTTAAGTCCATCTGGTCCAACATGTCATTCAAAGTCATTGCTTCCTTGTTGATTTTCTTCTTAGATGATCTGTCCATTGATGCAAGTGGGTTGCTAAAATCCCCTACTATTATTGTTTTATTATGAATGTGTTCCTTTTTGTTTGTTGTTAATTGTTTTATATAGTTGGGTGTCTCAAGTTGGGGGCGTAAATGTTTACAATTGTCAGATCTTGTTGCATTGTTCCCCTTATTGTGATATAGCGTCCTTCTTCATCTCTTGTCACATCTTTGGTTTCAAAGTTAGCTTGTCTGATATAAGTATTGCTACTCTGGATTTCTTTTGACATAATGGGCAACCTTTCATTCATAGACCCCTCGGATTGCACAAACAGAAGTTATTGGTTTGGCATCTAATGAAAACATTAGAAAACTATGAATGACATAATAATAGTCTTTTTGTTTGCCTGACTTCTCTGTTCCAAAAGACTTAAAGTCCTGTTATTTGAAATATTACTTTACCTTCTTACAATATTTCTCTGATATATGTGGGAATCCAGATAGATGACCTACATTTAAAGAGACAATTGAGGTCTGGAAAGATGAATTAATAAATGAAGTGTTCACCCAGAACTAGTGTCTAGGTTGCATGCCTTCCATTCTCCTCCAAGTACCATGTATCATGTCTGCAGTCCAGTGTCCACTGGGCAGCCATCAACATCCTGGCTGTCCATCAGTGTTGAGCCCAAGTCTTACCCTGCCCATGAAAGCTAGTGTCCCTTTCTCCTCTGCATTCACTCACTCCTGGGTCGTTCATGACCCAGTACTCTTGACCCACTACTGATCACTTTTCAGGAGACGGGTAACTGTTGTTGTTTTATTATTAAAATGAGAGTGGCAATGTAGTATATTCTTTCTCACTAAGCAGACCATGAGCTCCTTGAGGGCAGTGACCGTATCTGAAACCACTCTGTTGCACCGTTCCCTGTCTCTTTCTGTTGTACATTAGATGCTTAATAACGTGTCAATGACATTTATGATTAGACATGGTTTACAGTTGATGACTATGCCCGCTGCTGAGGAAAGATGACGCCTCACAAATCACACCGGGCTTTATGGTTGAAAAAGCACTTTCGCACAGCTTACCTCACACCACCTCTCCAGAGTCATACAATGTCCCCAAGCACAGAGCATGACAAAGAGCCTCAGAGAGACTAAAGTGACTCGCCGGAGAGTCCTGATGACTGGCGAGTAATGGGACTCAGGCTGGAACCAGATCATCTGTTTTAAAATTCAGCATTCTTTCCCCCACAACACAGCCACCCCATTGTTTCTGAAGTATGGTGCCCTTGCCTTCACTCTGGGACCCCCATGGTCTCTGTCTTTTACACCAAAGCTGCTCTGTTTTTGCTACATTGAGCAGCTTCCACTGCAACAGTGACTGCATAGTTCTCCATTATTAATTTCAAAAGTTAAATTCAAAGGAACATTTTATTTATTTATTTTTTTTTTTAGGCATGTCATGCAAACACTATCCCTCTCTCTGAAATGTGTAGTGTTGAGGTGGGTAGTAATAGATGTGCACAAGTTTTATTAGAACGATTTTCAATTGAATCACCCTAGAATGCACTCCCAAAGTATCAGTACTCCCTGCAGTACCCCCTGAGGGAGCACATTCTCTCTTAGGTCATCCACTTTTACCCAGGCCATTAGCTCTGCCATATTGCC